CAGTGATTCCTTGCGGTTTGGGGGATGTCTTCGGGATGTCGTCGGATTCGGTCGACGTCTGGACGAATCTGAGAGGACATCTGCTCGAGATCTAGATCGGGGTGGCCTTCTGCGCCCCTCCGCGCACGGCCGTGGGATGACATTTTGCCACGGCCTTGCCGCAGGGACATTGACGCGAAGGATGAGCATCGCAGTGGCTGTGGTTTTCACGCAAGGATGGCATCACGAAGGTAGCTGCTCCAACAGCGGTGGGATGCACACGCCTCGTAAATGATGCTGAGCACTTTGCCACGGCCGTGAAGACGACTCACCCAGGCTGCTGTCGGCACGACTGACATCCCAGTCCCAGGGGTAATCGTTGGCACGCACTTGTTGTGGGATGCTGATAGATCTCATGCCGTACTGTTTCATTTTTGGTGTTGCGGCCACGTGGCCTGCCGTTCGGGGTGTGCCTTCCGCTGCGACAAATGAGACCACCGACAAGTCGAATTTGGCAATTTGTCCAAAGGCTGGATCACTTCATGGACAACAGCGCGCGGACGCTGTCGAATGCGTACCCTTTCAACTTGTTGGAGGACTTGATTTGGCTCATGTCGACCAGCAGGTGAATGGTAAGGTCGAGGGCAGTCGGATGCCTTTGGTTTCGAATACTCTTTTCGATCAAATGCAAGTGTGCAGCCGACGTTAGGCGCGAGAATATTCAATGCCAGACTCCATGCCAGCATGCCCCAAAACACAACCACCACACACGAGCATGATGCTCACAACAGATCTTTCAACCCCAGTTTGTGATTGTATAGATTCCTCATTCGATGATGCCCAAGAGCATGCACAAGAACCTGGACAAGCAGCACGTAAGTTTCTGCATTCTCGCGGCCACATTGAGGAACTTTTGCAATGTTTTGCAGCCGAGGTTTCACTGTAGACTGACATCGCGTCAATCCCACCCGGCGAGGGTGATACATACTCGGATGCGCTTATGGTCGAAATCTGGAGCGATCTCGGGCGTCAGCATGTATTCCAGCAGCCAAAATGTTTTTCTCTTGGGAGACTGTTCGCG